CACAGCTTGGCACACCACTATGGCCGCCGCCATGTACTCTGCCTCGCACGTGGACCGCACCACCACCTTCTGTTTCTGCAACAACCATGAGATTGGAGCCGATCCGAGGAAGACAAGCATGCTAGAGGTGCTCCACCATCCGTTGATGTCCCCTGCCATGTCTGCATCACTGAACATAGTGAGTTGTAGCCCACTTCCACCGGTCTTGGGGAAGACTATCACCTGATCCACCATCCCCTTGACATAGCACAGCAGCCGCTTCACCGTGGCCCGGTGATCCTCTCGAGGATCCTCCATGAAGCGGCTGATGTAGCCCACAGTGAACGTAATGTCCAGCCTCGTGTGGACTAGGTAGTGCATACCTGATGAGGACATCACTCCTTCGGATGTACCAGCTGATCCTCCAACCGTCATGCAAGGTCCAATGACCCAGGCTCGAATGCGTCAACTCAATTTAGAGGTGAGCTCGTTCTTAAGCGATCCTTTTCATACTTTTGAGAATAGACTACTACCTAATGATGTTATCTTGCTTAGGAACATTGGAGAGGGTCAAGAGGGACTAAGAGTACATGGAGGAGGTGATGATGACCAGCAAGGACGTCCAACACGAACCGGAGGCCCAGTCCAACATCATTTCGAGTCTGCCTCGGCCTCCAGGACCAGTTTGTCTCAAACTGGCCACCTAGGACTCATCCGGACACCATTTTCAACGATCCAGATATGGATGGAAAGCTAATTTGATAAGGAAGCCAATCCAAGTGATTTCACGTCAAAAGCTCTTCGGAATCAATAGGAATCGTCGAAACAAGTCAGCATCCAGAATCTACCTGGGTGCTGCGACACCTTCTTTTGGTTCGTTGGACCGTGTATCGTGTTTGCGCCCATTAGGGGGCGCGTCCAGGGTAGGCGACGACCCTAAGACCTTTATAATCATACACCGCCACCGTCATTAGGTTTTGGGTTTTGCTTAGATTATTCTGTGAAGAACAGTTTCGTCGTTCATCGGTTTATGAGACCCCAATTTCGTGAGATAATCATTCATCTGCAATTTGGTTGCGTTCTTTCTTGTTCTTGCTTGTGTTCTTCGTTGCGCAGGTAGGGATTAGCCTTCTTGGCGAGGTCAACTTGGTCCATGACTCGGTTGATAACCAGAGGAGCTGTGGTGCTAAGATTGCAGGGTTCTATCTTTTGATCTGAAGCTGGATCGGTGTGTCATTATCCGCCACAACGATAGTTACCATCACCTGACGGAAGATCGGGATCCCCGTTCCCATTAAATGGTATCAGAACTAAGGTATACCGTCAGGTTCACTTTTATTCCCCAGTTTGAGTGTTTCGCATTCGTCCCATAGTCCAGTGCCATACTTATTTTTTCTGTCCTAGAACCTTCCACGACATAGCCTTTGCATATTTTAGTTTCAGAGTCCGTCGTGTTGAGTTTGTGTCCTGGTTAGGTCGTGTTAGAGTCCAGTTCGTGTGTTTTCCCCCATCGTTTCCATCAAATCTTGGCTGTTGTAACCAATTTTGCACACATTGTTCCCGTTTTGTCCTCTAATTCTGAGCCAATTCTTAAAACTAGTCTAGTTTTCACATACGAACTCCATTTTTTACGTTCCATTTATGCAAATCGATCAGAAAAAATTTCGGATCCGTCCATCCCCCACCTATTCGGGGTCGGAGATTTTTAAATTGGTCAAAAAGTGGTCACAAGATCCTCTTTTCGTGATCACAAGGTTTTTGTCGATTTTGATCTAGTTTTCTGAAAATTCCACAGGCCACATCTTTCACTTGTTTGAGCTCATATTTTCTGTGGTTACTTCTTTTGTGCTCCTAAGTAAAGGAAAAATATCAAAAAAATCAAAATAAAAAAATCAAAATTTCCCAAAAAACAACGACAACCCAAAAAATAGAAAAAAAGAGAGGGACAAAAGAGGAACAATATCTAGAGGAGCACATAGAGAAGACCAAAGTGAGTTGTGTTAGCGTGTGTTGTCTGATTCCTTGTTTTTGTTGATGTTTCCATCCACCATACTTGTTTTTCACACACCTGTCACCTTGCTATCCACCATACTTACTTGTCACACACCTGGTAGCGTGATACATGGCCACCTTTGGGAACGGTAGCCTCCTCTACTTCCCTGCCAGGCAGCTATCACACAGCTCGCCTGCGTGCTTGATGTGGGGCAGCCCACGGACCATATTCTCCAGCTGACCGAGAGCGTCGAAGCTGAGATGGCCGAACTGGGCATGCCACAGCCATGGCTCCTCGGTGTGCCGTGCTGCCTGGCACACCGGCTGCTCCACCTTTAAGTCGAGCAGGTACAGTCGGTTCCGAGACCTCTTCACCTTGGAAAGAAGTCGCTGCTCTCGGTCCCTGATCCTAAGGATGTCGTCCTTGATCAGTACCTCCCTGCTGCACTCATCTAGCTGGCCAATGTTGATTATGCTTGAACGCAGCTATGGGATGTAATACACATCCATCAGCGCACGGTACTCGCCGTTCTGGCACCTGAAGATGATGGTGCCGCGCCCTTGGATCACCACCCTTGAGCCATCACCGAACTTCACCATGCCAGTCATGTTGCCATCGAGCTCGGAGAAGGCTTCCTTGGAGCCCATCATGTGGTTATTGGTGCCGGAGTCTAGATACCACCGCTGCTCCTGCTTGCTGCCCACACGTCCGAGGTGGACTTGGGCGCTCGGTTTGTCGAGGTTGACAGCCTTCAGAGCCTTGCCATGCCCTTCCACCGCCATCACCTTTCCCTTCTCCTAGGCCTCAATGTCGTGCAGTGCACAGAACGTCACCATCAGAAGAGTGGCCTCATCATCCTCATCAGCCTACGCTAAATGAGCCTTAACCTTCTTCTCCTGCTTGCGATTTGGGCACTCTTTTGCCCAATGGCCCGTCTTCCCGTAGCGCCAGCAGGCGTTGGGGTCGACCTTCTTCTTCTTCTCCGAAGAAGCCTTGCCGCGGCACTTGCCATTGCCACTGTGGCTGGAGGAGGCTTCCCCGGAGTTCTTCATCCGGGCAGCCCACTCCTCCTCTATCAGCTGCAGCTTGCCGCTATCCATCGTTGCTGTGGCCTGCTCCATGCGCTTGTCCACCGCCTGCAGACGGCCTATCACATCCTCAATGGTGAGGGTAGACAAGTCCAACATCGTCTCTATGGAGAGAGCGATCTAGATGTACTTCACCGGCATGGAGTGGAGGCACTTGGAGACCGCCTCTTCTTCATCGATGGTGATGCCATGGCTCCTCAGCTTGCTGATGAGCGACTGCAGGCAGAGGGAGAAGTCCTCCACCGAGTCACCATCCTTGAACTTGAGGGTGGCGTACTCCTACTTCGGTAGTTGGGTCGTCGCCTTCTTTGCGCGGCCGGAGCCGATGCGCATCGCTGCAATGGCCTCCCACGCCTGCTTAGCAGAGTTCTTCGCCCCCAACGGCTCTCTGTACTCTACTGGTACAGCAGCGAGGATAGCCTCCAACGCTGACATTTCATCTTCTTCGTTGTTGGTGCCCTTGTCAATGGCATTCTAGAGCCGTCGGGCTTTGAGCTTGACCTTCATGGTCACCGCCCACTCGCCATAGTTGGTGCGAGTCAGCGTCGACCAACTGGTGCCGCTGACCTCCCACTCCGTGCGCATGACGACCTCCTATCATGGCTGGGTAGCCACAGCACTGCTGCTGCTGTTGCCTATCTCCAAACCGTCCGTCATCGCCAGCGGTTAGTCCGGCGACGACGCTTGTACTGCTCTGATACCACTTGTTGGTCCCTAGATCTCCTACACGGGTGAGCCGACAGGTCACCGGCGTTCTCACTCACTATGGCTAGATGTAGAAGAAGGGATGGAGAACAGAGCGCGCACACACACAGCATAAGCACCAGCGTTGGCCGGAGCTCTGCAGAGGAGATGGCAAAACTGAACTCTCTCACTTTACTGAGTTGTAGTGGAAAACTATATATACAACTCTACCCATCTAATCCTAGTACACAGATATGACAGGCTGTCATGCTGGTACAGTGACTAGATGTGACAGTAGGGCTGACTTTGACGTCTGTCCCTGCTGTGGCTACAGTGCGGCAGGGGAGTCTTTCGACGTCTGCCCCTGCCGTGGCTACAGTGCATAAACAGATAAGCTCTTTCGACGCCTGCCCCTACCACGCGTACGGGGGAGTAGCAGATTACTTTACAGGTGGCATGCTAATGCACTGGTACAGGCATGACCCCCCACGTGCTATCTTTTGCAGTTGTGTTTCTCGAGCCAGACCAGGCCAGGCTATGGACGTCGAGGCCTATTTCCAGCCAGAGTAAAAGAAATGAGAAAAACAAATGTGCTTCAACCTGAGCTCTGGCTAAGCCTGATTTGCTTTTGGCCTCCTAACCAGTTGCCTATCTATTGTTTTTAGGCCAGTCCTTGGGCCATGGCAAGTGGTGCCCAAATTACCCAAGTCTAAGGACTTGTTTGGTTGCTGCCCTGAGAAGTGTGTCTGAACAGGCAACCAAAATTCAATGTCTGAGATTGTTGCCTGGCTCAGACAACTTTCTTAGGCTCCAAACCTAATAGGCTCTAAATATTGCCTAATGTTCTTAGGATCGCTTCCCTGTTCCATCCTCACAAGCAAAATTTATTAGGTACAGTGCTCCAACCACATATTTCATTAGATCTACTATGTAGCATAGTAATACGGTTGCACAGGTAAGGCAAAATAACATACAACAACCCAAATCTAAAACCTGAAACTGACATGGTAACCCAAATACCATACCATATCACAGCAAGCCGCTGAAGCTACATACATGAAAAGGGAAAATGCGAAAATTTTGGGGTCAAAAAACTCACCAACTTCACACCCCACATGGTGTATATATCTCTCTCCCTCCAGACGACATTTGAACAATACCATATTTTTTTACAGGGAAAAAAGGTTCGAGGAAAGAAGAGACATTTCAGTTTTTACATACAAGCATCACACGTCATCTCCTAGCTAGTACGTATCTCATACAAGAAGCATCACAACAACTCCTCCAACGAGTGTGCAGATGAGCCAAGGAGAGTAGCCAAGAGCCCATCTCGCCGCGCCATTGCGGTGGTGGCTCCTAGCATTGTTGTTGCGGGGATCGACAATCCCCGTGCCACCCTGTTCCGGCGTGCCGCCGTTCGGGTGCCCGCCGCTGTGGCTGCTGTAGCCGTGCCCATGCCCTGTCCTTACCGTGACCCTCTCGCCGTCACCTGCTGCAGCTGCACACATCATTTCAGCGGTAAATGTTTGTTAATTGAGATGATGCTGTTCACAGGTCCTGGAAACCATCAAAGTGGATTATTTTTTCAAGAATTTTTAACTATTTTTTTGTGGATTGATCAGGTCATCAGGTAGCAAGCTATATTATAGCTTTCGTTGTTTGGACTTTGGAGTACTAGTACAATGATGCCGTGTGTGCAGTGAATAAAGTATTGGTGCCGGATCGCTTTCTTATGCCATTGGCGGGCACCAGGAAGGAATAAATATCCTTAATTAACGTGTGTGTTGTGCATCCTGGAATGCAGGGAATCATATCTTTCACCACACATGGACAGGGCAGACCGACAGAGCATCTGTGATAGAGAAGGGCCCTCCGATCTGCATTTGGAGTCTGGACACCTCAGCAGGGTCCAAGATATGTTTGTTTTTGTTTCATATTTTCTCTTCAGAGCTGCACAAAATTTCCTTCAGAGCCATAGGTTGGTTGCCATGGCACACTAAGGCCTCAATTGGAACAACTTTTGTTTGGTTGTGAGAAACGACTATATGTTGTCTGTTAAATTCCTTTTGTATTTCTAGTTTCTAAAGAGGGTATACAATTATTTTAAGTGCTCAATATCAGGTGTTGACTCACTTTCTTTGAACTTGGTATCCAGCATAGAAATGCAAACAAGGGTATACCTATATAATAGAAGATCTTGAAGTTTGAAACATGTTAGCCTACCATGTTACAACTGATACTATAGATGCTTTTGTGCCAAAGTCCTGCAGCATCATATTACGGAGTAATTTACAACACAACAGTTCTCCTCCACAAGACTGCATCTGCATTTCATATTACTTGTTTTTTGATAAAGCAAATCATTTCACTGTGATAAACAAAAAGCATATATACGTCTATATATATATCCTTAGCTAGTTGCATGCAATTGGCCAAAAGATGTGGGGGCATGATGGTGTCCTAGTAGAATATATACAAATATATTTATTTTATCAGCTAAACATATGTGCCTTGCCTTAATTTACAAGGTTATGCTGCTACTTTCCTAGGCCAACCATGCTTTGTACGCATTCCTGAAGAACTGAAAACACTATCCTTAAAGTGTTAAGACTGAGCAGGACATTGTGTCTTTAGAACTATATATATCTTTCTTTTGTTTCCACAATACATATAAGCATTGGGGTTCAATTCAAACCAACTTTCTAGGGTTCAATTCAAACCACCTTTTGGGTTCAATTCAAACCAGCTTTCTGGTGTTCCAATTCAAGTTTTTTTTCCCCTAACTGAACTGAATCATTGAAAGCTAGTGCTGTAGATAGAAACAAAAGTAATACAATACAGGGAAGACAAACTAAATACAGCCCCAAGTTCTTAGCCCGAGGACGAGCAAAAATCGCATACCTGCTACGTCCTTGGCATCTGCAAGCTGAGCTCCATGGGCAGCAGACACCAGGAGCAAGAAGAGAAGCAGGGTGACGCCAAGGCATGGTTTCTTGGTCCTCTCCATGGCTGCTGCTCTGAAGAAACCAGAGAGCAGCAAACCCAGACCACGAACTGCCACTCACGCTCTCCACCGTTGCCTTGCGCCCCCCCCCCCCCGAAAGGCATATAGAATAGGTTCCTCACTCCTTTCCACGTGGTCCCTCAATTTCTGGTGCTGGTCGTCACACCAACCTCACTGTCTATCCCTTTGTTTGCTTGTTTATAACTTTGTAAAAGCAAGCACTAACGAATGTCTTCCTTGATTTTTAGTCGTCAATGTTACCAGTAGCACCTCTTATTAAGCAAAAAGACAGCAGTAGTGGGTATTCAATGGGTTTGTTGTATGTACTATATAGCTTAGATTTTGTAATAAAAGCATAATGCACATTTCAAATGTGATGGGTAGGTCCGGTTGTATATGGATACAATAGTACAGAACAACTTAGGGCTAGTTTGGATTCTTGGAATTGAATTCATTCTAATAATTACAATTTAGGCATAGATTAATTAAGCTAATATAGTTGTATATGAAATATATTTGTATATTTATTGTTAAGAATATAAGGGACATACTTATATGTTGCATTTCTATTGTAGGGAAGTGAGTTGAAGAGTGTGTTATAAGTTGGAGAATAGAATTATAGTATAGTGATCTATAGAATTCAATTCCATCTCTCACCCTATGAATTTGAGATAGGCTTATTTGTGAGCTTAGGAAAGTTATGAAATATCAAATTCCAAGCCAGATAGCCTAATCCATTATGTAGATTTTAATTTCTCTAAAATGAAGGAATCCAAACGGCCCCTTATTATTTTTTTAATATGTTCAAGGCAGACTAGTGGTTTGAATCTTGTGAAGAGACCGGGCCTATCCAATGCAAGCAGGCCAATTTCGCTATGTAAGCCCGTGCAGCATGATGTTTAGAACAGATCAGTAGTTTGTGGCCATGCAGGCCTTCTTTTTGCTCTTCTGTTCTTGTAGACTACTATTTTTTTAGATTTACCTCGGATACTAGTATTTGGATATTATTAGGAAATGACTCATTAGGAAGGCTAGCATTAGGAAAGGATCCATCAGGATCATGTATTTTAGGATAGTGATTAACCATAGCCTAGTTGCCTTGTATTGTATTGTGACTGTGGCTATATATATTCAGCACCCCCCACATTGGGTGTGTGGTGTGATTCATATACTTCTCTACATGGTATCATGAGTCCCGGCCTAGGTCCACTTGCCCACCCCCTCCTCCCGCTGTTGTGCCATCACCCTGGTCGCGCCCCTCTCTCCCTCTCCCACCCCCGGCACTGGTCCTCCTTGCCAAGCCGCCACCATGACTACCCCTCCCCTTCCCAGCGACTCCTCTGCTGCCCTCACCAACTCCTCATCCTCAGCCTCGGCATCGGCTATCTTCTCCATTCCCCCCTACGCCACCATCTCAGTCAAATCCCATGTGCCGATCACCCTTGAGTTGAAGCGCCCCAACTTCACCCGCTGGTCGTCCTTCCTCTCCCACTGCGGCAAATTCAGCCTTCTCCTGCACGTCGATGGCTCACAGGAGGCACGCCATACCGACGCGGCCTAGGCTGCTACTGACTCCTATCGGGGACGACATCCTCGATCTCGCCGAGGCCTCGGATCAGACCGCCCGTCAGCTGCGGCCGGCGATCTTCAGCATCTACCAGGCGAACAAGGCCTCTCGCGCCGTCTTCCTGAGTCGTTCGTGACTTAGGGTGACCTCTCCATCGACGCCTACTACCAGAAGATGAAGTCCATGGACGATGCCCTGCGCGACATCGGCCACACCGTCATCGAATCGTGGCTCGTCCTCAACTTGCTACGCGGCCTCAACCCCCGTTTTTCTAGCACCGCCGACAACATCGCAGATTCCAATCCGCTGTCCAACTTCGCCACCGCCCGCAAAAAGCTCATCCTCAAGGAGCCTCACCTTGCCAACGAGGGCCAAGTCACCTCCCAGACCGCCCTCCTCGTAGGAACTCCTTCCTGCGGCACTGCCTGCCATGCGTCCATGGGCAGTTAAGGCGCTTCTGGCCATGGTGGCCAGTCGGGCAATAGCCAGGGCTGGCAATGGCAGCAGCGGCGGTGGTGGCTATCGCAATCGGTGGAAGGGTCATGGCGGTGGTGGTGGATCATCACAGGGAGGCAGCCACGGCCCTAGTCAGCCAGCTAGCCCCTGGTTCTGCTTATCCCCCTAGGGCAGCCAACAGCAGCAGTGGGGCGGCTACCAGTAGCAGTGGCGCCCCCATAGCGGCCCTAGCATCCTGGGCACCCCTCCATAGGTCCACACTACCTTCGCCCCAGCACAGTACTCCGACGGTGCCCCTCCTTAGCCGTGCGCTATTCCCTAGAATCAGACTGGTCTTGTTGTTGCCCTGAACCAGCTGTCCCTCCAGGGTTCAAACCCCTAGGTACTCGACACGGGCGCATCTACACACATGTCGTCCTCGGATGGTATACTCCTCTTCCGCCTCCCTCACTCTGATTCTTTCATTACTTTTGCTAATGGCAGTAACATTCCTATTTCCTGTCATGGCACTTCTACCTTGTCGGCAGCCGACACTACCTTTCACCTTAACAATGTCCTTATTGCTCCGTCTCTAGTGCGCAATCTTCTTTCTGTCCGTCAATTCACTCGCGACAATTCATGTTCCATTGAATTTGATGCTCTGGGTTTTCTGTCAAGGACCTGCAGATGGGACTCATGATCTTCGCTACAATAGTGGCAGGGATCTCTACACCATCACCCCCACGCCACTGCCCACCTGTAGCCTCGCCACCACGGCCACGCTCTGGCATCATTGTCATGGTCACCCGGGTCCTTTCGCCCTCGCCACCCTATAGAACATGTCTGTCATCTCTTGTAATAAGCAAAATGTCCTTATTGCTCCTGCTCTAGTGCGCAATCTTCTTTCTATCCATCAATTCACTTGCGACAATTCATGTTCCATTGAATTTGACGCTCTGGGTTTTTCTGTCAAGGACCTATAGACGGGACGCGTGATTCTTCGCTGCAATAGTGGCGGGGATCTCTACACCATCACCCCCACGCCACCGCCCACCTACAGCCTCGCCACCTCAGCCACGCTCTGGCATCATCGTCTTGGTCACCCGGGTCCTTCCACCCTCGCCACCCTACACAACATGTCTGTCATCTCTTGTAATAAGCAGTCATGGTCTTTATGTCATGCCTATCAACTTGGCAAACACACCCGGCTCCCATTCACTAGCTCTACTTCTGTCACTACCTCTATCTTTGAGTTACTTTACTGTGATGTATGGACATCCCCTGTTTTGAGCACTTCGGGTTCAAATATTATCTTGTGATGCTTGATGGTTTTTCTATTTTTTGTTGGACTTTTCTGTTACGCCACAAATCTGAGGTTCATCACCATCTTGTTGAGTTCATCGCTTTCGCTCGTATGTAGTTCAGTGTCACCCCCAAAGCATTTTAGGCTGATAATGGTACCGAGTTCCTCAACCGGGCCACTACTGACTTCCTCTCTAGCCATGGCATCAGCTTGCGCCTCTCCTGCCCCTACACCTCCCAACAAAATGGCAAAGCCAAATGCATACTTCACACCACCAACAACACTAATGGGGACGGGGATCCCGATCTTCCGTCAGGTGGTGGTAACTATCTTTGTGGCGGAGAATGACACACCGATCCGGCTTCAGATTGAAAGATCGAACCCTGCAATCTTAGCACCATAGCTCCTCTGGTTACCAATCGAGTCACGGACCAGGTTGATCTCGCCAAGAAGGCTAATCCCTGTCTGCACAACAAAGAACACAAGCAAGAACAAGAAAGAACGCAACCAAATTGCAGATGAATGATTAATCTCACGAAGTTAGGGTCTCACAAACCGATGAACGGCGAAACTGTTCTTGACAGAATAATCTAAGCAAAACCTGAACCCTAATGGAGGAGCGGCGGCTGTTTATGAAGATTCTAGGGTCATGCAAGACCCCTGGACGCGCCCCTAATGGGCCCAAACACGATACATGGTCCATCGGACCAAAAGACGGTGTCGCAGCACCCTGATAGATTCTGGACGCTGTCTTGTGACCACGATTCCCGTTGATTCCGAATAGCTTTTGACGTGAGACCACTTGGATTATTGGCTTCCTTATCAAATTAGCTTTCCAGTCATATGTGTATCATCGAAAACAGAGTTCGTATGCGTCCTGGGTGACCAGTTTAAGGCAGACTGGTCCTGGAGGCCGAGGTAGACTCGAATTCATGTTGGACTGGACCTCCGGTTTGTGTTGGACGTCCTTGCTGGTCATCATCACCTCCACCACTTCCTCTAAGTCCTTCATGACCCTATCCAATGTTCCTAAGCAAGATAACATCATTAGATAGTAGTCTATTCTCAAAAGTATGAAAAGGATCGCTTAAGAACGAGCTCACCTCTAAATTGAGTTGTCGCATTCGAGCCTGGGTCATTGGACCTTGCATAATGGTCAGAGGATCAGCAGGCGCATCTGAAGGAGTGATGTCCTCATCATCCTCCCCCTCTTGAATTGGAGTCATCCTCGACTCAAGCTCATCTTCTTTTCCCAAATAAGGTTTCAAATCTGCAATGTTAAAGGTGGGACTAACCCCGAACTCGAGTGGCAACTCAAGTTTGTATGCATTATCATTTATTTTCTCAATAATCTTATAAGGACCTGCTACTCTTGGCATTAATTTAGACTTACGCAGCTCAGGAAATCTATCTTTTCTCAAATGTAACCAAACCAAATCACCAGGTTCAAGTTTAATCTCTTTTCTACCTTTACCACCAGCAATTATATATTTTTCATTCATTCTTTCAATATTTGCTTTAGTTGTTTCATGCAACTTACGAATATAATCAGCACGCTCTCTAGCATCACTATGTATTCTCTCAGTGGTAGGTAAAGGCAAAAGATCAATAGGAGCACGGGGGTTAAAACCATACACTACCTGAAAAGGACTTACCTTGGTGGTGGAATGTTCCGCCCTGTTATATGCAAACTCCACA